TTTTACTTTACTTTACATTTTTTCATTTTTATTTCACTTTACTTTACTGTTTACTTTATTACCTAATTTTGCGAAAAACACGAACGACATTGCAAACTATTAGTGGCCTTAATTTTTTGATCTTGTAAATTACAAGCGATTATCGATAGACTCGACTAATCTTATTTGATTATCCGCAGAGAAAATAAGCCACAAAGTGAATCGCGCAAAAAAGAAATAGCTACAGTACCTCAATTAACCGAGTGTTGTTTGCGATGATCTAGATCGTTCAAAATCTCTCACTTGTCCACAAACGTGATAAACTGTATTTTAATTGATTTATATTTAAAATATAAAAATATGTCACATTAACTAATAATTAACCATTCACAATAATAATTATTATTAAATCAATAATTAATTAATACAATAATGATCAATTGCAGTTATTAATATAATTAGCTTAACAAACTTAATGTATGTATCATCTATGAATGACGAACATATTAATTATTCTCCATTAGCAAATAACACATCAACTTTATTCTTTACTTTGACTAACAGCACCGTCTTCAAAGAACACAGTACAGCAAGGGGTTAAACGGCCAATTAAATCCTATAATCGAAATTCTACTGTACCTGCTAATCGAGGCATTTTTTTAATGAATATTTCAGCCGCCTTATTAGGACCGAGCATTCGGAAGATCGGATCAATAACCGAGGCTTTTGTCGTTCCTTGGCTTTGTAGCCATCGTGAAGTTTTAAAGGATGAAAAACGCCACTGAATTCGTGGCCTCTAAGGAAGGCTTTAAAGAAGGTACACGGACGGGCTCCGTTCTTTAAGCCATTCTCTATCGCGGAATATTCATGGCCCTCCTTTATTGCGATATCCTCGATAACGCGGCTGGGAAATGAAGTTGCTTCGCAGCTCGGCATGGAATCAGCATTGTTTAACGCTAGATTTCTGAACATTTGTTGTACTGGGTGGATCAAAGTTAAGTGTAAATAGCACCATAACCTGATTGTACACCTGTGGATTGGTGAAAATTTCATAAAGAACAGTCTGTGCACAATTGACCTTGACTTTGCATTTCAAGGTTAAACTGTTTTTTTTAATGCGATGAGTTCTACTTATTACAAGGGATAAAAGTCTCAAAGGAACCATAGGTCGGAATTCAACCGTTTTTATGGAAAGAGACGTAAAAGTTCAGTAGAAGTTCAGTGATAATTAACATCTTGCCTTACAATATCGTGTCAGATTCGAAGAGAAGATTTCTAATATGATTTAACAAAATAAATTTCATTGAGTTGTGTTAAGGATAAATGAAACATTGTTGTCCTTGTTGGCAGTTTGTATGGCTTATACTAATAGACATAGAAAGAGCATGGAATGTTTGTTTTACTAGTGTACTATTAACGATAAATAGTTTTAACAAATGCAGTTACGAAATTAAAGCAAGGGTTTAAGTACTATAATATATTATATTATATATTATATTATAACTGATACGTACTGCAGAATCATCATTACGCGTCCCTCTTTTCCTTTAATTCAGTCTTTGACTTTATTTCTGTCTCATCTTTTGCTGTCTACTTTATTCCCATCGCGAAGCGTAATATTCCGCGATTTCTGCTGGGCCTTTATTACCAAACGCAGAAGAATCCACTGCCAATGACTGTCATCGCATGGTAAATATACAGGTAGCGAAACTTTGTGCCATGTACTTCGCAACCACAATATCTCACTATCTGGATATTTTACCACTCCATTTAACAATCTTGCAATTACTTATTAATAGAATTTATTAATAGCCCCCCTTGTCCTATGATTCCTCTCACAACTTTACTAGAACTACTTTATCGTTAATAATTTAATAGAGAAAGAAGAATTCGGTGCTTATTTTGTATCTACGTTTACTTTAAAGGTTAAATATCGATGACAAATCAGTAATATTTCATTTATACGAAAAATAAATAAATAACATTTAGATTAGTCGAGTTCCGTTGAAAATTTTCATCACGAGACTCACTCGATATTATAGAAACAGGAGTTAAGCATTTCTGAACTAAAATACGTGTACAGGTGAATTTCATATCTTCAAACTTGTAGAAATCTTATTTACCAAGGCAATAATTTAACGACGTATACAAATGGCAATCAGGTTGAACCACCATCTAGCTATATAATAGATGAGTTAGAAGTTCCCAGCTCAATTTCTCAATTTTCTACAGGATTCAACGCACAATGTACAGCCAGCCATTGTCCTATTGCAGAATAATACTTCTTCACAGAAATCGAACCGAATTTTTCCTGCATTGTGCTGAAAAATGATCAAATTAGATGTTATATATCAATGCCACGACCATCTACAACGATCATCCATTAACCCTTTACACTCCGAGGTCCTTTCACATTTACTTCTCCATAATTTTGTATTGCTTTAAGTGTTTTACTTGGAATGTACTTCGAAAGACAATTAGTTAATACCAAACAGCGTAAACAATTATTTGTATCAATATTATTAAAAGTAGTATAACAACATGATGCAATTAAAAAATGTCACACTTCCGAATAAATCTACTGTCGAGTTATATTCGACACAAGAGCGCAAAAAAGGGTTAACAAACTGCTCCAATTCATGGCCATAGATTAACATTAAAACTACTGTACCAGTAAAAATGACTGGTTTCCATTGTTTTGTTTCGCAATCATTGACATCTTAAAAGTATAGAATATTCGATATAATCTTGAAAATTAACAGCTTCGATTAAATACTATAATGAATGTCTGAAGAAACCGAAAATAATCTATTGTTACAATTTTTATAGGGATTGCATTTCAATAGTATTAATCCTTTGCGGGCGAAGATTCTTTGAAATACACAAAATCTTCAGCAGACGAAGCTAAATGATATAGCAATTGCTTAAATAATAAGGAAAGTAGAAACTACGTGCTGGTCTTTTGCTGTTTGAGTAATTAAATCATTTGTTTGCGATTTACTCTGCGAAGCAGGAACATTTCATTTTACTGAAACGTCGACATTCGACCGCAAAGGGTTAAATCCTCGGTAGTTCTAGAGTTAAAGAAAATTGCGAGAGGCGAAAGGTCACGAGTATGGCCCCCAAAGTGAAGGCGTCACAAGAGAAGTTTTCCATTTGAATAGTTTCGAATCAGTATTTCTGTCCACGTATACGAGAAATTGCTCCATGATCGAACGATTCACGTGAGAGTAACGCGGAACAGAAATCCCCGAATCGAATTCATTAATTCCTGTTTACTTTGTTAATTGATTTTATGGTAATAACCGTTGTCCCCTGATGAACGATTGGCGCCACGGGCCGGGAAACAGAAAAATGGTTTCATCGCCGGGGAAAATTGTTTACTCGTTCGAAACGTTCTGAAACAACGTTACAGATTTTCGTTTGCATACGCGCGGTAGCAAACAACGAAGATTCGGGAACATTAAAGTTTAATGCGATCCGATTGAAGTTCTCAATTTTCGATGAGCCAGATCGAGGAAAATTCTGCTTTCGGCTGTTTGCTCGGATTTTATTGAAACTGTCTGGCCTTCGGCCGGGAACTCTCTTGAAGAGCAACCTGGATTTACTTACTGTCGTGGCTGTCTTTGCTGATAATTGATTTGTCTGTGATAATTTGTAATGTTGAATGTTATAATAAACCTTGTGTTTTAGTTGTATCGAACAGTCAGTGGTTTGTATTTAATCAATAAATTATGTAGATCTAACTTCAGTTTAATTTAAACTTGAATGGAGATGTAATTCAAGTTTGAGTCAAGTTCATTCAAACTAAAGTTCATTCAGATTTGAGTTCATTCTGTTTGAGTCAAGTCGAATGGTTAATTGAGAACTGGCTTAGTTAGCTCTTGTACCTATTTAACTTGGATATATTTTCACTCAAATTACGTTTGGTTGATTAAAATTTGATAGTTAATCTGATACATTCAGGACAATTCTAGTTAATACAAATTTAATTGAGATTTACATCAAGTTTAACATTAACGTATGAATCGAGATACTTGATACAGATTTAACTTAGATCTGAGTCAAGTTTGAGATAATTCACGTAAAAAACAACTGTGCTTAATGTAGATAGATGCTAAATGCAGATCTTCTTTAAGTTTGAATCAAATTTAATTGACCCAAGTCTAAATCAAACTTGACTCAAGTCTAATTAATCCAAGTCTCAGTCAAACTTGAGTCAAGTCTAGCTAACTAATACCTACCACAGTTTTGAGTGTAATCTATGCTCAGTTTAAATCCAGTCAAAGTCTAGTCAAAGTTGAGTCAGAGTCGAGCCAAAGCAATCAAGGTCAAGTCAAAGTCAACTCAGAGTCGAGTTAAAGTCGAGTCAAAGTCAACTCAGAGTCAAGTCAAAGTCGAGTCAAAGTCAACTCAGAGTCAAGTCAAAGTCGAGTCAATGTCAACTCAAAGCAATCAAAGTCAAGTGAAAGTCGAGTCTAAATCGAGTTTAAATTGAAAATCCAATCAAAGTGAAGTCTAATGCAAGTTTACTCCACCCCGATACATATAATTATCTCCAAATGAAATTCAACTGAATTCTGACTCTGTATAACTCATACCTAAGTTGATCCTACGTTTGTTATGCTTAATTCACACCAAACTCAAATTACGCTTGAAGATACCTTCCGCACAAATCTATATCAAATTTACTCACTATTTAACTCACGTATTTAACCATACTCAAATAACATTATTATTTCCCATCACAATTACACAATTACAAACGAATCCAACTTCAGACACATCTGCAATTAGACTCTATAATTCCTCATAATCTCATCGCATTGCCACACTAGTTGCACATTGTTAGAATCATCTCCATTCATTCTCAGGTACTCGTAATTGTCAGACGAGTTTGCGGACTCATCATTTGTCTTCCGAGGTGTTCAAATGGATCGATTTAGCTCCCTGGACGTGCTGCGTACGTGCACACACGCGCACACACACGCGGGAACTGAATGTGTTCGTTGTTTGCACAGAATCCGTGGAGAAGAAGTGTGGTTACAACGGCCGCTGGGAGGGTCAGAATGGAACCAGCAGCGAGGACTCGACACACGGGTGGGCAAACTACACGACCTGCTTCACCCCGGAAATGCTGATGTTACACGGGAAAGTTTACACGAACGATATCGAGGGCAACGTGAGTGTCAGACGATTAGATCACTCGAACTTAGATGGACCTTCATTTTTCTTTTCTCGTTAACTCCAACTGGGGGGTTAATCCTCTGTGGAGCTATCTCCTGCGTTGCATCGTAGTCAATTTACTGCTTAGTCAGGGATTTGTTTCCAACACCCTAGATTTACTATTTATTTAGTTACCATTCAGAAAATAGACTTTGCAAAACTGTAGAATGCATTTGGTAATTGGCGAACAAATTTGTTAAAAGTTCAATAAAAGTAATTAGCAGCGAAAGTTATGCAGTTAAAGGTTGGTCGAAAGTTAAATGGCAATACTTAACGTGAAAATTAATTTGTTGAATATTTTATTATTAAATTTATGTTGGAAGCGTTATTTATGAAAACAGTTATTAAAGAAAAGATTTTTAGGGCATACTATTTTGCATAAATTGTTTGCGCTAGAGAACCAAAGTTTTATAGAAGATATTCTTTCAAAGGTTACTATAAACTTTGCAAGTTATAACTTATTTTTATTTCTTTGGGGATTGACATTAGAATTAAACAACTGAAAATAAATCCTTTTAACACATTGCGTATTGGTAACGAGAAATCTCGTTTTTATGTAAAGATATTTAGCTATGCAACTTTGTTAATTACCGCAGCATTTAAGAAAATATTAAATTTGTTTCGAATTGATTATCTATTTAAAATATATTACATAACAATATAATATCTGAATTTTTGTATGTACAGTGATATAAGTTGATCTCACTGCAAATTGCTATCTGCACAATTCGGTTTTCTGAAAATTAGCCGGTACGCAATGTATTAAGCTTACTGTTTCGCAATTACTCTCAGATAATAAATAGATTTTTCTAAAGTCTAAACTGAAATATTTCATAAATGTTAAATATAAAAATAGTGTTGATGTATTGGGATAATATAAAAGAATATCAATTAACAATCTTCAAAGGCTTGTATCAAGCAGCGAAGTCGCCTGTAACTTTCTTTCGAAATGCAATTTCCTCTTATCTCTCTCGACACTCGACCACAAGATCAATATTTCTATGGCGGTTGGATCACTGGTACTTTGGGATAAGAAAAGAGGTCGAAGACAGGACGTTGCATCTATATGTGATAGACAATTACGCTGTTAAAGTTTGGAGTGCCAGAGAAGTGGGCCAAATCGATTCGAGGCTTAGAAATGAGAAGAAATTAGCTTGCGAAGGGAATCGATGAGGCCCCTTCAGCTTTCTACCCTTTGTCAGTTCAGTAAAAAAACGAGAACTTTCTCCCTTTGTCCTCCGGTATAGAAATTTAATTGTATAAGTCGTGCTTAGTGCGGTATAAAATGCATTATATATGAATATGAAACACTCGAGGCTCGCATCTAATGTCAAGTCATTGATTTCTTGAGTAACGAGTAATTTGAATTACAAAATAGGATTAAGATACAGTGACCTGTATGTGGACATTAACAATGAAGTTATTAAAAATTATGCAACAGTTTTAAAACGAAATTTACTTTTGCTATTTGATTCGATAATGGAATAGAGTAAAGTGTATTTAATAGAATTAGACATGCATTATATTTAAATTTCTTCAATTTATTTTCTGTGTTATTAATATTATAATTATTATTAATTTTATTATTAAACATTATTATCATTATTAATTATATTAGTATTAGCTATTATTGTCAGTATTAATTGTATTATATTAGTATTCCATTATTAATTACATTAGTAAATATTAAGATTAATTAAAAATTGTTTTGCTTAATTTTCTGAGACCTTACGATTCAAAGACTAATATAAAAATAATATAAAAATTCTATTCCAGTCCACAAAAGGACAAACTTTTATCTTTATCCTTTATTCCAAAGATTTACACATATACTGCATTTGATGCACTTCGAAATGCATTCAGTGTCAAGCTCAAACTATTTATCTAAACTTGTGAAATTTATTTTCTAAAGAAGCAATAAATCAAACAGTAAAACATATTCTTATTGGTAAATACATTGATAGGTACTGCATCACGTAACTCCTATCCATTCATCGCGACACATGCGAATTTTTCCAAGCCCATTGGAGATGTAACTTCGAATCGTATATCATTTTTCTTCGAACCCCCGGGTATCTATAAATCATCACTTTTCATCTTTTCCATTCCTATTTCACACTGCGTACTACGGATCTGATATCGACACGACTGTCAATAACGTAGAACGCAGGGGAATGATTAATTCTACTACGTCTAATTCCTTTTTCTCTTTTTCATTTTTTCTCAGATGAAGATGGATATTGCAGAGAAGACCCGGACGTTGGAGTTCGTTGGTCTGAGCATTTCTTTGGTGGCGTTGCTCGTCTCTCTTGCCATATTCTGTCGGTTCAGGTACGCAACGAGAAGGAATTTTTATTTAATTATTCTTGAAACTCTGGCAAAACTTCAACATTTCGTCTGTTTCACAGGAAAATTTAATTAAACGTCTTCTTTGTTCATTACACGCTATTAAGATAACGCTGGATTTTCAAGAGAACAAAGAAATTTAACTAAATATCTCCCATCGGAGTTCTTCAATTGTTTTTTAATATCATAATCCGAGATTGTCATGTTCTTTGATAATTGCAAACATTAAAAATTAAACAGTAAAGATATTCCTCCTTTCAGTTTCTTAAGTTCCTTTTAACACCGTACAGGAACTTTCGTGTTCGTGAAAACACTTTTAATTAAGTTAAATAGTTAATGCTACCGTTCTTTATCTCTTTTGTATAATACTTGAAATTTATAAAAATTAGATGAAACATTTGCTTTCATAAAGCTCTCATTTCTTCTACAACACAAAGAACCTGTGATACTCTACGAAAATTAAAGAAGTCGAATTAAATATTAATTAAAAGACTTGAAAACTAGGTTTCTCGTTATAATGAATATTATAAGAAGTAGGTAATGGTTTGAAATTATATGTAAGTGTCTTCTAATTAATATTTAATTCGACTTTTTTCATTTTCATAGAGTATCACAGATTCTTTGTGCTATGGAAGAAATTAGAGGTTTATGAAAGGAAATGTTTCATCTAATTTTTATAAATTTCAAGTATTATACAAAGGGGATAAAGAACTGTGGCATTAAATATTTAACTAAATTAAAGGTATTTTCAAAGACATGAATGTTCCTGTACAGTGCACTCTTACATATAATTACAAAGCATTACCTACATTTTTTAATATTCATTATAACGAGAAACCTTGTTTTCAAGTAATCATACAAACTTTATCCGACATTTTCCCCTGCAATTATTCAACTTTTCCAATAACGTCAAGACAATTCTATTTCCCGGGGATATTAAAAAACATTGAATTAATCATTCCCCAGCACAGCTCTCTAACTTACTTCCAAACAATATTAATCATCGTTGGGAGTCAAATTATATTCCGTCCCTTGCCACGAAATCAAAATTCAACGACACCATTACCTTATTCACATAAATAAAGAAATGTCGACGCACAGGCGCAAACAATTTCCTCGGAGATACCGGTAGTGCGCATTTATTCCATGAAACTGGGTTAAGCCTGTCCCAAGACACAACGGTAATGGAATGAACCATTCTAATGGCGTCAAAGATTTCAGAATGCATAAAGTCCTCCTAGTTAGCATGGAAACTGCTGCGTTGCCATTTCTCATCCGAACTTCGGGCCATGCTTAGCATGAAAATCATTTCCCTCCCGCTTAATTAGGCATTCATTGAAATATAAATTAGCTGGACAACAGAGATGCTATTCTTCTGTTTTTTTCATACCAAATCTGGCCGTACCATCGGTCAAATGATGGTTTTCAACCCTTTGAACTCTGTAGGCTCCAATATTGCACCAGTTCTAATATTAAATATTTGAATGAATTTTAAGAAAACTACCTCAAGATTATTAGATCTTCCAAATATAGAAAGTTTGTACTGAGAAGGGAATTAAAGGTCCAAGAAATGTTATAACATTATTAATTTTCAGTAGGACTACTATCAAAATTGGTAGGAGTTGCTGACATTTCACACTCGAAAGGAGACTCTCAGTCATCATTTGTTTTCATATAGTAAAGTTATGAAGTCTTACGTATAATATTAAACTTTGTATAATGCATCAATATGTGAAATATTGAAATAAAATAGATTTTTTTCTTAATTTGTGCATGCTTTCTCATTGTAGTTTCAAACAATGCTTTCTATCTTATGGGAAGTGTTGAACGTTTCTGGTGGAAAACTTTCGAGTGCAAAGGGTGGAAATTTGATTTAAAATTCTGCGTGTTCTTTCGTTCATTCATCACGTTGATTACCACGATGGTCACCGATGATCGGAGCTTCCGAATGACTTGAAAACAATTATACCTCGTAAGATAATTGACATTCAATAAAAATGTTCAACAACGTAAATAAATAGATAATAATGTAACTTAAGAATTGTAGTACGAAATAATTGATAATCATTTCTTTGGATCTTCGCTATAAAAGAAAAAATGACACGTAAAACGCTGAAGCTTTTCGTGGCAATCAACGTGTCAACTTTATATCGATTCCGGTATTGCTGGATTAATCAGTTTTCATCACGAAGGAATGGCAAGGTTTTCGATTGTGACGAGTATACTCGTCAGGAAGAAATCGCCAGGGTTGAGTTATGACGAGTATACTCGTCATAAAGAAATGTCAAGGTCTTGTGTTATGACGAGTATACTCGTCCACAAACAGCTAATTGATTAAGGAAATATTCATGTTCGAAACAACCAATTCTACATGTACACATTACTGAAATGAAAATTTTCGAAGAAACTATTTGTAGGTACGAACACGTGCACGTACCAGATCAAGGTACACACTTTTCAAAAAGGTCGCAAAACTAATCGAATGTGTTCGATATTCATGTGATTCAGATCCCTGAGGAACACCAGGACCAGAATACACAAGAACCTGTTCGTTGCGATGGTCGTCCAGGTTCTTATACGATTAACCGTGTACATAGACATTGAAATTCTGAGGAAGAAAACGTACGGAATTCAGAGGGGAATAGGGAACACTGTAAGTGGTTTTTAATGTTTATTCAGATAAACATGGTGTCTGTAGAATAAGACATTTGAACAGTATGATATCTTTTTACTATTTAAATGCCATTTTCAAATAAGGGTGCAGTAATTTATTCAATCTGAAGTTATTATCATTATTACATAAATTTTTCATGAATTAATTGAAATTATTATTATTATTATATAAATTTTTTATTAATAAATTCAAATAAATCAATTTTCTATATTATTTCAATATTTAACTATTGAATTAAATAATACTTTTTATTTCATTTGATACTTTAATTTGATCATTTTCCGCAAACAATTTTTTTCAACAATTTTGTATTCCATTGTCTTCATACTGCCAACCAAATTTGAGCATTATTTAATAATAATCATTTGCCTAATATGTCATTCAATTTAGTTGAATATCATCTTGAAATAGTCATGTCTATCAAATATACATTACATATATTATTTTATATGAATTTTATACACAAAAATCGTGACTGAAACTACAATTTTCTGTCTAATCTTCAACTAAAAATCGTGTCTTTCGTTTTCACTTGTTTCTAATCTCAACAGATCCTTTCCATAATAATTCGTTCTGCTTCCAACCATAATCACATACGTGACAAATAAGACCACAATCAATTTATTAATTACTCACCAGCAAAACAGTAAGAAAAATTCTCAAAATCCACAGGTAACGTACATTTCTCAACAATAGAAATTCAACTCTCAAAGAGCATTCCTCCAATTCACAGCAACGAACAATCTCTCGATTTAAAATATCCTCGCATCCCCTAGTCCCATTAAAAATATTTATAATCCTTCCAGACACGTAAGTATCTAACTTTGACATAAAAAAGATCCAAAGATTATTCCATCGTTCGTAATAAGAAGGACCTTTCGAACTACTTTCTAATTAGACTGATCGTCTTCGCGTTTCTCCCTTTCGCTGAACTTTCTCTCTTTGCCAATGCAGCTCTTTTTTCTCGTCGCTCCGTTCTCTAGAGTCCAGGAACGAACGTGTATTTGACTGAAATTATCTGTAAGTCGGGTTATCCTTTGCTCCGCTGCATATAGACCCTTGAATTAGCAAACTGTGCTCACTGTATAGAGTGTCCCAGCTGGAGGAGGCCACCTAAATTCCGATGCCCGCTTAAATGTCACCAAGACTTGGAAACCAATAGTAAAATTCTCGCGAGCAGGGTACTGGTTTTTAATTCAACCACGACTCAACGAAGTGAGAGCAGATATAAAGAGAAAATTTCATTTTGAATCATTCTCACCTTATATTTATGAATGCAACACCAATGGATTGCTGGGATTCTTCCAATTAAAATGAGACGACACAAATCAGACGAGTTTCATCGATTTCGAAAATTCGTATCTTCAATTTTCTGATTCATTTTGAACGGGTGAAATCAGTCCGATTTATATCTTGTTTGGACTCGTTCTAATCGGAAGAATCTCGACTATCTGTTAATGCTACAATTATAAACATACGACGAAACTGACTGCAACTGAAATTTTCTTTGTTGAATGTTTACTTTTCATAATCATGGTATTTTATTGATGTGCATCTATTTTCTTTCTTTTCATTGTACTCTATCCTTGCCTACTGAGATGAAGCTTCGTCGAGCTCGAAAACTGAGTGATAGAAAAGGAATGAGAGTGAGTCTTAGAAATTTAACTGGATTCTAGTGACATTTAAGCGGGCATTCGTTTACTGTATTATAAAAAGAAGCTCTAAACATAATCAGTAATCTTTTCTATTATTTCCAGTGGAATACCAATAAAATAATATTTTACTCTAGGATATTGATTAGAGTCAATTAAATCATGATATAGGGCCTTTCCATAACCTAAAACACTGAGGAGATATTTAGGTGGCCTGTTTTAGCTGAGACACTATAGGAGCTGAATATGGGTTGCAGCAGAGAAGAAGGTCTGAGCTTGAAGTCCACTCGAAAAAAATACGTTCTTTCGTTTGCAGCCTGTCCTCTGCGAGGCCAGCTACGCTCTGCTCGAGTACGCCAAAACCGCCATGTTCATGTGGATGTTTATAGAAGGCTTGTTCCTCCACAACATGGTCACCGGTGAGTTTACACAACGTTGATCACCTAATCGTTCTCCTTACCAGATTAACACGTTGAACGCCGCATCATTTTGTAATAATTTGAGGTTTATATCAGAGGTGCAGAGGGCAGAAAAAGTAAAATTACTATGGAAATAAGAAGTACGTTTGTTGTGATACGGTTTGAAATACAAGATCTATATTACGCGATGGTTCGGCTGTGACAGTGCAGCCCCGCTTTCGCTAGCGATGGGACACTTAATTTATGGTTCACCATCGGGCCACGTGCTTTAACCAGTTAACTGTGGCAAAGCGCCCACCAGTGTGTCGCGATAATCAAGCGATGACAGGTATAGTCGTCAAACACAGAGTAAGTGGCGCTGTTGAAATATTGGGTCAAAAAGACGACTTTATTTTAGAAAATGAACAATTTTATTAGTGATATTTACACAGTCGCTCAACGTGAACTTACATTTATACATAATGAACGGCAAACATAGAAAAAAGAATCAAATATTTATAGGTTTTGATACATCAAGTAACTCAACTCAAATTATTTATAATTTTCACTTGTTTGTTTTATTTCGTCTTGACCTCTGAACATTTTAAACATATTAAAATTTACGAATATAATTTAGTTTTCGCCAGAATCACAATTTAAATATCAAATTGTAACAAAATTTTACGCATGACGGATATAATCGTCATGACATAAAATTCTGCCACATGCTTAACTGGTTAAGCACTTTATAATGAAAAAATGTAATATTAAATCATTTGATTGAATTGCATTGTTATTATTTCAAGTTCCTTTAGCCGAATGTCACCACATTAACTAGCATTATTTATAATATAGAAATGCTTTCAAATAATCATCTTTTAATTGAGTGAACTAGTAATTCGATTTGGTTGGGGGTCACCGGTGACCCATGATTTCAGCGTGTTAAAGGAGTACCACACTTAAAGACATTCTAAACATGGGTCAACTTTAGGAATTTTTTTTTTAATAACTATTAAGTGAAAGTTTCTGATTTTTTCTGGGTCTGTAACTGTGATTTTCCACTTAATATTTTTTCCAAGCCAAAATGTTACAAAATGGTTTAGTTATTCGCTAACACTCCTTTTCGTAAAACATCCATCGTCAGCGGATCGCAAACAACTGAAACATACAAAGGCAATAATTTTTGTGGATTTACAGACAGAAATATATTATCTAAAATATAGCTTACGGATCTTCCGAAGTTTTAATTATTATAGAAACGGCGAGCCCTTGAAACGCAGAAACCTGTTTTCACCTCAAGAGATTAGCTTCAAATGTTTATAAAATTAAATAATTTATATATTTAAGGAATCGTGACGAAAATTTCAAAACGGTTTGAAGAATCCAATTATTATTACTGTCTTTTATCGTAAATTAAATATTATTCTTCTATTATCAATGGTTAATCTCTGAAGCAAACGTAAACATAGAATGAACATAAAAAATCGTTCTTTCCCTAATCAATTATTAACGATAAAGCAGTCGTGTCGATCATGGTCAAGAAATTAATCATAGGACAAGGGAATCAAACGTCAAGCCCCGCGCCTTAAGCGGAGTAATTTGCGTCTGAATGAAATAATAGTTAATTAACTGGTCTAATATTGTTATTTCTGACCTCTATGAACGTCAGACACTGTTGCGTGCACACAAAGGGTTAGATTGTAGAGGGGGAGGGGTGTATGAATATTGATCATGCTAGTAGACCATATTATATTCATATTATGCTCCCATATTGAGATAAAAATGATATATATCCTTGCGCATACTGTTTGATACGAAAGGTTCGAAGAGTACGTGTACCATCTATTTGAATTATATAAGGTCAGTGAATTTATTGAATCTAATAGACGTTATATTCTGAACACACGTTATATGTTCCACTTCATAAAACTAATTTGTTTCTTGTCGAGGAATATAATATGGAATTAATGTTCGTGGTTTTTTGTAAACTATTTTAATTAAAGAGTATATAGACTATACATGTGTATATTATTTATTTAAATTATATACAATGAATGGGTTTATTGAAACTGATAGACTTTGTGTTCTGAACTCATGTATACGCACACATCATAAACTTGACTTGTTTTTAGTTGAGGAAATTAATATGCAAATAATGTTCACGTATTTATGCAAACTATTTTAATTATTGAGTACAAAGACTCTGTGTGTGTGTGTGTGTGTTTACATGTGTGTTGTTTATTTAGATTATTATTAGGTTTATTAAGATTAGTACACTTTACGTCCTCGACACATTGTATGCATAAAATGCCATACATATTAATTAGTATTTATATTATCATTTAAGCATTAAGTTTGAATATTTATAGTAGACTCCGTTAAAGTCAACAAATTCATTGAGCCTGATCTCTACTTTGTTCTTATTTTAATAATCTGTGAAATGTCTTTAATAATCTGTGTCGAAATGAAAGCAAAATTAATAAAATTTATGTAGATTTATCTAATAAATGTTCCATAATATTTTTACATTAATAAGGGTTAAATGGAGTCTTTAATAATTGAAATCAAACTTAACCAAAGTCCTTTGAATTTGCGAGAAACATTCCTTAACATTTTTATACCAATAAGGGATAAATAAACTCTTCAATAATACAAATGAAAATTAACCAAATTTCTTTGAATTTAATTGGCAAACATTCTACAATACATATAAAACAATAACAGTTAAATGATATCTTTAAGAATCTGGATCAAAATGAACCAAGCGATCACCGCCAAAAACTATAGAGAGAAAATTTAAGGTCAATGTCAGTATTCAAGGATAAATCAGTGTCGCTGCGAATCGTTCTAAATCAAAGGACATTGATTCACAGCAGCGAGTACGTTTGAAGTCCGTTTAAGTATGCGAAAATTAAACATTTCTCAGTGCGACGCGCATACATCCCCGAGTTTTTCCCCGCGGAAAGACAGGTTCGCGTTTGATTAAAAATTCCTGATTCTCCGACCTTCCGGCTGGAATTAAAGATGCGTCCGTCATTGTTAAGCGTTACCTCCATTTTTCACGCGCCGATTCTGTTTGTCGCAGTGACGGTGTTCCAAGAGACGTCTTACTACCGGATGTACCGTTTCATCGGCTGGGGATGTCCTGTTGTGATGACCTTAGTCTGGGCAGTCATCACGGCGTTCTACTATCACCCGAAGTCAAAGTAAGATTTTTTGTTTATTCGTTTTATTAATTTAATTATCTGTAACCTTTACGTTAAATTTTAACTCACTCTCCTCAATTGTAATATTTTCTTCAAATACATCTTCTAAACAAAATATTAGAGAAATGAGACTGAAACGAGTCATTGAGTTCCCAAATATAATGTCGTAATTTGTAGTTTCTAATAACAATATGTATAGGATTAATTTCATTTTCATTATGTAAAATATAGGATGACGACCGTCACAAATATGTGACGCTGGTAGCGAACGTGTTAAGTAAGGGATCTTTTACCTTTAACTTTAAGTAAGGGATCCGTCAAATCTCGAGAAATATATTGTTCTAATTTTTATAGGAACTTGCAAGTAAATCACTCCAATTGCTCTGTAGTTTTTGTTTTAATGAAATTCTATGTCACGATGTACGATATCCTATAAAGTTATCAAAAGAAATTTAACTGTAAAATGTTATTACAAGAATGTTTTCTTTGAAAGTGGAACAAGTCTATTCGCAGCTAAAAAAATCGTTCAGTTTCTTTGACAATCTTATTAATTATTATGTATACTAGAATTCAACAAGTTCACGGTTTTATAAACACAACCCGAATTGATTAACGTGTGCCAATATTTTTCAGTTGATTCAGACGCAAAGCCTTAAATACCTTAACACTGAAACTACCGGACAGGTCAAATTGACCCACTTCAGAATGTTTATTTTGCAAGCATTTAAATTATGAAGGCATTTCTGTCGGAGACTTTAAATTAAATTTTTGCATTTGTATAGATACAAAACTAGGATACCGTTCGAATCTCATGAAATGTATTGTTTTAATTCTTATATGGAATTAGGAATTCGACACTCCAATTACTCGGTAGTTTTAGTGTTAACGGATGTTGTCTTACAGGGGTCTATATAAAATATCGTGAATTTTGAAACCAGTGACATTTTCGTTATGTAGGTGATATTATTGCTATGTGGAGGTGTTTAAACAAGTAAAAATAAATAAATACAAATTGTTTCATTAGTTGGTAGAAACGAGAATAGTTAATATTAATAGGTAATTAATAACTTAATTTTATACTTTTTATAGTTAATTTGGAAAAGAGGGGGCTAACTTCACATTCCTCTTGTAACTTTGATACGATATTAAAAAATATTGATGAAAAGAATATAGTTTAGTGTTAACCCTTAGTTACTACAAAAATTCTAATTTATACAACTATTTTAAAAAATCTTGGGATCCTTGCAAATTTTGCAAACCAAATAATCAATGTTGTTTATTTATCTTAGTATTCCAATTTTATTAATGTAATTGTAATTTTAATTGATGAATTAATCTGTTAATAATGACTTTAAATTCTAGTGTAAAATTATTTAATTAATGCCCTAACAATATGCTTTTATCAATTTCCTCAACATTCGTTCCATGAACTCAATTACTTTGATAAAGAGAGACTTATTTTATAATTAGAATTTAAATGTCTATATAGAAAAAAATACAAAATGGAGGAGCTGGTGTCAACTATCTATAAAATAGGTTTCTAATTTTTTATTTGAAATTCGAAGCAAGTAATTTCACCACGTGGAATTGTTTATTGTTAATTTAATATTGAATACATGCCTGGTATGAAAAGGTAAACTTTTTATGTGGTATTACAAATTACAATCGATATTATGCACATATTGATTGGTTAAGTAATTTAATATTCCAAGCGATATTATAAGATCATGAATTTAATGTATAAATCAGCATTATAAATAGTGTTACATAAATATTTATTTAATGAAAGAATCAATATTGCAAATAACATTACGTGAACCAGATATCGAAAATGAAAATGAGATTTATGCACGTTGAAAAAATGTTAGGTTTTCCAGATGTTGGTCCGGGTACAATTTGTCTTCCTACTTTTGGATCCTCGAGGGACCTAGGTTCGCGGTGATATTGGTGAGAACATTTTCGAGATCTCTGTGATCACAGGAAATCTTGATAATGTATGATCCTCAGCGCATGATATTCCAGGATCCCATTTGATATTCAGTTCCAAATGTTTCTCCTTTTACTTGTGACCATTATCAAGATTTTCCCATTCTTAAATTATTGATTATATCGTAGAAATTAATGAATGAAAACTTTGTTTCAAAAGATTTATCAGTTTTAAATGAATAACAGTGATTCATATATTAACAAGTAGAAATTTATTTTAAAAGATTTACTATTTATAAATTAATAACAATAATCTACACATTAACGAATGTACAAAATTTAAATTAATAATTGCATCTGTATATTAATTAATCGAACTACTTATAAAATTTACTTCATTTCGCAGAATGCTTACATTTCTTTATTCTGTAGAATGGTACATTCTGTAAAATAAATTTCCAGTTTCATTCTGACAAACTTCTGTGGAAAAATATTGCTCAAGGACTTTGTATCTCGTGTAATCATTGATATACAATATTATGACATAAAAATTTATAAGGAATAATTTCTTGCCGTGAATCGCTGCATCAATATATGTTAATCATTCGTATTCATGAAAATCTGAACACCTGCGGTATTTAGAGATGCTGCACACTGGATATTGATTTCAATTCCACAGCTCAATTTTCTGTTCCTGCTGAACATCGTGAGGGTGCTCGTGCTGAAACTGCGGCAGAGTCATACCAGCGAGATCGAGCAAGTTCTGTACGTAAATTCCAGCACGTCAACCTAAATAAATAAATCAGTGAAATTGAATGAATAAAACAAATAAAATGTACAAATATATCATGTATAAATCTAAAACAATTAAAAACGAAATAAATAAATGAAATCATCATTTGAAAAACATTATTCTGTAAAGAAAACAACAAACAGTATTTGCCAATTTTATTCGTTCTCTTAATCTGTTGTAGAATCCATAACCAAATGAGACTTTGAGGTCACTTATCAATATATCGATATTTGGTCAATTTATTTAATTTTTCACTGTAAACTGACTAATGAAATAGACTAAGTAACTGAATAACTAAATTAAGCTTTTATATACACGAGTGCAAACTTTATATATCATTGTAACTCTAGAATTATGAAACACGTGAGTTATAAAAAAGGTTATCAAAGCTATTGAATTTATTTTGTTAATTTGTATTTAGAGAATAATATCTGTAGATTTCACCGATCAATTTTTGATAAGCACAATTTTTTTAAATCAGATTGTAGGGGGTTTGATCTTATTTCCATCGAAAAGGGAATGGAGAAACGGTTTGACACTCGGAGAAACATGAAACAAAAGAAAGAAGAAAAATGTTTCGATTGTTCTAACGACATTTGTTCCTTTTCAGGAAAGCTGTCAGAGCAGCTGTGGTGCTTCTGCCATTGCTAGGCATCACGAACGTCCTGTTCATGATTGAGGTGCCGTTGCACAACGTGAAGAAGTTCGCCCTGTGGTCTTATTCCACTCATTTCCTGCAGTCGTTTCAGGGCCTCTTTATCGCGACCCTTTATTGCTTCCTAAACGGAGAGGTGAGAATTATTTTAACAATTGCTTTGCAGTTTGTGCTCAAAGGTATTTACCGACAAATTTTGTAGAAATGCACGAAGGTATTTATTGACAAACTGTGCAGACATACATAAAGGTGTTTACTGCAACATTTTGCAGGAACACACAAAGATATTTACTAGAAAATTTTGTAGAAATACACAAAGATATTTATTGAAAAGTTTCGTAGAAATATACAAAGACATTTATTGGAAAATTTTATAGAAATATACAAAGGTATTTACTAGAAAACTTTGTACAAATACAAAAATGTGAAAGATTATTAATTTATCCTATTGTTGAATTTAAAGAATCAAAAATTGCACTGGAACTCCATTTTCTTCTGCAATGAATTCTGTGGGCGATAAAAGAAATGGGTTTGCGTTACATTTACATTAACTTTTAATTTTACAGCTTTGGAAGATTTTTGTACGCTTTGAACCCATGAAAATCTGCAGTATAATTATTAACTGCAGATTTTATTTCTGTCATATTAATATTTCATTGAAAGTCCACCAAATTTTAATAACAGAACATTTCATATAAATTTTATCATAATATAAAATAAAATTTATTAACAATAAAGGAAATAACAAACTTAATATCAGACCTACTTAACATTTCCATTTCTAATAGAATTTTAAAAGATACAAATGAAAAAACTGTAGTAAAAATTAAGTGAAATCTTTGAAAACACATTAATGTGTAACACAGTTAAATAAAGTTAATTGTTAGCATCATTTCCATTTAATAATGCGTTACCATTTAACTCTGATTTCTGTAAAATCACTTTGTAAACATTTATATTTACATTTGATTCGTATAACTTTATAAAATTATTTAAATTTCTGTAAAGTCTCTTTGTGGAAATTTATGTTACGAATTTATTTTCAAACTGCCTCAGGTGAAGTTTGTTTGTTCTTGTCCTTTGATGTGCACAGAATTATTGTGTAAAACTGGACGAGGAAAATTCTATCGAAAATAAAACACAATTAAAAGGTAACGACTTTGTAATTAAAGTACCATTTCATCGGGTTTCCCTGTTTGTTCGACAACTTAATGATTAATGCCTCGTGGTGATTACGTCCGGCACGAATGATGAAGTGGGAACCGATCATGCATTATGCATAGGGAACGCTGCCGGAGTAAACAATACACTCTTGGGGATACCTTGGACCACTGCGAGGCTAGACGGAAACGTTAACAATGGAATTTATCTGATACGATCGATCTCGAAAAAAATGAAATTCTGATCAGTTTGTTCCTCTGAATTCAAGCAATTTTTCTTTCATTTGTTATGCAACAGCTTGGAATAAATGGATAGTGAAAGCGTTTCTCAAAGACATTTTTCTTAAATAATATCACTTTCAAAAATAAAAGGAATTAATTGTTTGAAATAAATTGTAAAAATAATGGAGCCAGTATTTTGAAAGTGTAACAGTAAGTTAGAATCTGTTGATGTTAAAGATATTAAAATGTTGAGTTTGAAAGGTATATAAAAATTCTGTTTGCCAATGATTGGTTAATATTTTGAAAATAAAATTAAAATAAGATGTAGATTTTTAAGGAACTTTCTTTGGAAGCAATACTCCTTAAATTTGGAAGAAAATATTGTGTCACGTAATTTGGAAAAATATTACTAACTTACAGTATAAGAAACGATGTGAAAATATAGAAAATATGAAACTAATTAATAGTCTATTACTATCTATCAATATTCCATGGATGAAATTGAAGCTTAGTATTATTTATATACAAATGACTATATTGGAAAATTTTCATTCAAAGAAAAATAGATTTAGTAGCAAAATAAAAAGCAATTTTAATTAGAAACTAATAAATCATCATTGTTTATTGATATTGAAATATCATTCAGACTGTACTTTCAAGGAACATGAAAAAATTCTGTACAAATTCCAACGGTCTATATTTTGCAAGTGGAATGGAATGTTGGTACTGTTTGTACACAAGAAGCTTTGAATTAGTACTCACGAGACGTTCAGCACGTATGAAACAGTGCGTACAGGTCGAAAAACAAACGTAGGGAGAGAAATTAGTATTAGATGCCTCGCTCAGTTCCAATCTGTTCGTTGAACCGTTCGTATCGGTCCGATATGTTCATTTGATCGTGACATGCTAGTTGGGTCTGATATTAAAGCTCATCTAACGCAGCGGTTCTCAACTTACTCTAATCATTAACCCTTTGCACGCCGAATTTTTGTTGTATTTTTTCCTTAATAACTCTGTATTATTACATTTTATTTGAAGTACATTTTAAAAAATAGATAGTTTGTAAGGAGCAGTGTAAAATATTCTTGTTACTAATAATATTGAAAATAACATACTAATATAATCTAGTTTACAAATGTCTTGATAAAGAAGCACACTTATGAATAAAACTGATGTCGAGTCACACTCGACATAGAAGGCACAAACGGGTTAACATTTTCGTAATGCAAAATTTTTATTTCCTTTTTATCAAATAATAATTTTGAGTATTTATTGAAACAAATTCTAATAACTTTAATCGATATATTACTAAGTTGAGAACCACTGTCCTAACCTATACTCGAAAGAGTGTAAACGATGTTAAAGAGCCTGTCAAGGGTTTATTAATGGTCATTATTTTTTAAATAGATTTTAAAAGGTTTAAAATAAATTTGAAGAAAAGTTGTGAATATTGAAATTTAGTGGAATGTGGCGTGTGTTAATGGAAATATGCGAAGAGATTAAAAGTGATCTTGTCGAGTGTGAGTAAAGTGATTTCCTCGCAGGTGAGACTGGCCCTGGACAAAACCATTTCTGTTTACTTATCCTTGAGAGGAACTGACCTGCAAGCGAGAAGGCAGTCGACCTTCAGTGGCTGTCAACCACAACGGATTGCGTCAGGTCAGTGACGAAATTATTCAACCGTGTATCGATAAAAGAATAAAACTGATTTTAATCCATTCTCATTTTGAGAATTTCATACGACTGTTCAGGACATCTGGCTACTGTCTCTTCACAAAGAGAGATTCAATAATTTAAATATTCCAATAATTTTATAAATACTTCAAGAACTGTTCGTAAACAATTTTTTAATAACTCATATGTACTAACAGTGACAAGCGTTCTAAGACTGTTCATACAGAATTATTTAATAACTCAATAGTTCTTAAGTATTAAATTATAAATTATTTTAAATTATTGTTTAAATAATCTAATAATTACCCACATCCCAGAATTAATTATACAGAATCATTTAATGACTTAATAACTCCCAGCTATTAAAGTATAAAATATTTCAAATTATTAATTACATAATCGAATAATCGCTAACATTCTAAAACTGTTCATCAAAGATTATTTAATGATAAAGATATTTCAGTAATTATAAATGTTTCAAAATTGTTCGCGAGAAATTATTTAACAAGCCGCACGTACATTCTAATAATTATAAATATTCTGAAAATGTCAATCAAAAATTAATAACAATTTCGATTGTATCACGTATGGTCGACGCTTCGCTTTGATCGACACGGGTTATAACAATTTCTACCTTCCATTCCAGAAGTGGGAAATTCTACAAATCTAAAACAATTGCCCACCCTTTTTCCTCGAACAAATTAAATTCCTCAGAAATGTTTCGATATATCGCTCTTCTATGCACTTACAAAAAAATTTCTTTTTGATTTTATTAGTACTAAAGGAAGTCTCATATATCTTTAGTATTGTGTAAAAATTTTATCAACTTTAGATCAAAATTTACCGAAATATCAATTTTTGTTTATAATCGTGCATCTTTGTTTTACACTCTTTCTATCTAAAATTTTAACTTAAAATTATTTTCTCAATTTAATCGTTTTTTCTCAATTGAACTTTGAAGATTTCCTATAATTAAATTTATAATCGTTATTGGAAAAGTCGACAAGTCAATTCAGAACATACGACTAAACTTGGGAAATAATTTGAAGTAAAAATTTCAAACTCTGTCTTTTCACACTTTCAGTAGGAATCGTGTTAAAATTGTCTGGCATTCCTCGAATATGTATGAAAATTTCCCCTGGCACTCGAAAGGTGAGTCTCATTCACCATTTGATTTGATGTAACAAAATTATAAAATTTTATATACAATATTAAATATTATATAATGAATACGTGAAATGTTGAAACAAAATAACTTTCTTATTAATTTATGTGTGTTTTCTCATTATTTAATTTCAAGGAATGTCATGTATGTGTCATCGGAAAATGTTGAATACGTCTATATAGTACAAAACTTTCGAGTGCAAAGGGTTAACTCATCAGGGACTTTCGAACGATGCGCGCGATCCGCTACGAAATTTCTCATTAAAACGTATTAAATTTTAATTGCAATTAAACTGGTGAGCAGAGTCCACGTGACCAAAGCATTAGGGACAATCGATGAACTACAGGAGTGTATTTCTTTTTTCGTTTTTAATTTTAGTTCGCGTTTACGAAGATCGATGGAACTTGCGACATTAACAGGTTCAGTGCCATCAAAAAATTGGGTTATACTTTATTCTCAAAGTTTGTTGGTGATATAAGTTATATTCCGCAAGTTTATGATTTTTATATATATATTTTTATATTTATGTACTAAATAACAAATAAATAACAAAATAAGTAATAGAAAATAATAAAATAAGAGATAGGACCGAAATAATGAAATAAGAAATAGGAACGAAATAATAAAATAAGAAATAGGAACGAAATCATAAAATAAGAAGTAGGAACGAAATCATAAAATAAGAAGTAGGAACGAAATAATAAAATAAGAAGTAGGAACGAAATAATAAAATAATAAATAGGAACGAAATCATAAAATAAGAAGTAGGAACGAAATCATAAAATAAGAAGTAGGAACGAAATAATAAAATAAGAAATAGTAACGAAATAATCGGAAGGAAAAGAAAAAGTGTTCAAAATACAAAGGGCTAATAAAAAGTTGCGCGTTGTTGCCTCAGTGAGAGCGTAGCCTTATAGGTCAGACACTCCCTGAACCGTGTTCCGAGCTATTAGCCGGCGCTGCGCGGGCCAAGTTTGCCTCCGCTGCGCAACGTGTTTGGTAATTCACCGAGGAACCGCACAGAAGCAAATACGCGAACGTTGTGGGACGACCGCCGGTGGCGGTGTCGATTAAATTTCATTACAAAAATACACGGTGTTGTTCGAACGAAACTCTGCTGCACCTATGAGACAACATCGTCAGGAGGTAATTGGGCTCTAACGAGGTAACCCGGCGAAATTGACGGAGGCAGTTTTGATGAGACTTTCCTGGAAAGCAGTATTTAGGAAAATGAATCAACCTGCGACGAGAAAAATTAATTAAAATCGCGTTGTTCTTTGATTTGTGATTTAACACTAAAACTACCGAGTTAACACTAGGTTTACGGGCATTTATTGTACAGTTTATTCTATTGTTCCTGGGGAAGTAGATATTCGTTCATTTAGATTTTGGAAATTGTAGATGTAGAAATAGACAATCAGGATTCATATTCGTGTCATTGGATCAACGAAAACCGATTGAAACATTTACTAAATAATGTTTATAAAATTCAATCTGCGTCAAATTGACGCGTTCCGTAAACCTAGTGTTAAACTGATTTTTTATCATTTCTTTGTGAGAGCCACAAGATAGAAGTTGTTGAAATTGCAGTTTGCTTATGTATCAATTTAGGTATTACTAAATCAGTTCTGTTAATGATTTCTCGAAAAAGTATCTTTAACTTTTCAATAATTATAAAAAGAAACTGGGAGTTCTAGTGTTAACGTCGTGAAAATTGTTGAGGCCTTACTGTATATAATCGAATTATTTGATTGATAAAATCGTAATCTTCAATTATGAATCTTATTCGGTAATTTGCAGGGTATCAGATAGAATTGTAAAGTTTACTTTTACCCTGTGATTTATTTCTCAACTACTATCGATACAACTATTTTATCACTAATAATTTATTAGGAAGAAGAAGAATTTTTACGCTTATTCTATGTCTACGTTTACTCCAGAGGTTAATGATTGAGATAAATGGAAAGTAATATTTAATTTATATTTAAAAAGGGTAAGTAATACTTTGATTTTTGAAATTCACTTGAAAATCTTTGTCACGAGTCTGACATGATATTGTAGGTCAAGGGGTTAATAAAACGTCAAACGCTACTAACAAAACGCTAATAACGCTAATAACAAATTTCTATTAATTCATTTCTCTGGCTACAAATGAAGTTTTCCTAGTATCTAATCGCATCTCCAGATTCTTTATGAAAAGAACATAATTCTACCGTGCTGAATTTCTTTCATTTCAATAATCTTCATTATTTACAATAATTTTCAGCTTTTTAATCAAAATCAGTGATAAAAAAAGAAATAAGTATCACACATTATTTTAGCAACTGCTTCTCACCAAAGGTCATAATAATCACAGGAACACGAGACGATTGAACGTGAAAAATGAAGAAAAATGGTCGGGCCGTATTGGTCCGGAAGAAGTAATTCCTACAATCGCGAAACTAAAACGATATTTCATTGATGAACGCTCTCGACGTCTCGGCAACACAAGAAACACTAAACGCTCGTCTATATTGGTCCCGGATAGTACCTTTGCCATTTCAAACCGAACCACGTTCGTCGAATTATTAACCTTTTATTGCATGAATTTTTAAAAGCAGTTCAAAGAAATGTATGCTTGTTATTCTATTCACCCCCTTATTGCATGAATTTTTACGAAAAATTAAAACAAAAATATGTGTCTGTAATTTTATTTAACTCTTTACGGTTGAATGTCGTCGTAATGGAAATTTCGATCTCTCATGTTTGAAACCGAAAATTGTGAATGAATAATTTCATTATTCAAATAATTGATACGTGGTTTTAAAGATTTCAATAAATAATTCAAGTTTTTATGGAAAGAGTTGTTAAAGGTCTGACAAATTCTCGTTCACGAAGGGTTAAATATTGGCGTGGTAATGAAGTAAATGAGGAAACATTAGCAAATAATGTTATTCATCGCATTTTGTGATTGTTAATATGGAACACCACAATATTTCGAAAAATAAATAGTTTAATTTGTCAGTTACCTTGAGAAACATTTCGTTAGTAACAGAATATAATTGTATTAATAGTTGGACATCAATTAAAAATTTGTTATTGAGTATGGAGCATTACTGTGTTTGGTAGTACGTTGAATTTTCTGAAAGACAAGTTATACAATCAAATGTCTTAACATAGATAGACCAAACAATTTCATTTTTTCATGATTTATCATTGAACATGTTTGTTTTTCACTATTCGAAATCAATTTGCTGCAATTCAATGTAATGATTTGATATTATATTTTTTACAGTTTGTGTATTCTGCTCCATGAAATCGTGTAGCGTTCAACGTGTTAACACTAACCATACCGGGAACCGATCAAATGATTTAAAATTCTGCGTTTTCTTTTGTTCATTGATTTTTATATCAATTCCTATATTGTCCAATTAATTGGTTTTTCAATTTTCATCCTTTTGTTTCTGTTCCCACTAAGAAAAATGTATCATCTAATTTGTTTATCTCCATTTTCTAGCCAGTTATTTGACTAATTACAACAAGAAAAGTGCCGGAACGGTTAATGTTAAGGTCCCACGTAAAAACTACCGCATATATAGTGTTCGAATTTACGACGTAAAAATGTCGCGTAAATCTAGAGTAGAGTGTCTACCAAATCAAGAGAAATATTTATTCGGTACAGATTAAGTTTCTCTTCTGGAAACGAATGCGACAGAAGGTTAAGTTGTTAATGTAACCTCGTAATCGAATCCGTTTCACGGTCCGCCGGCGCCGGATCCTCGGTAGAATTTTCGTTGCGGCAAATTATTTTTAAAACAAGGTCGTCAAATATACCGGTTGAAGGGTTGTCGCGATGTAGCCGAGCTCGGCCCGCGGTTCAATCAAATTAATGAAAGCCGGCGAGAGCGCGCCCTGAGGAGCTCTCCAAGTCCGGAAAAGCGGTGACTGGGCTGGATTTTCTTCAGAGGTGAATCGATTCCGTACGCAATTTAGGAATCAAAGTGAGCCGGCCGACAGAAACTTTCGAAGCAGCTCGGGGACTCGAGTTCTTTCGACGATCGACGACCTGTGTCCCACTTACGGTGATCGGGAATTACTTGTTTGTTTAAATATTTGTTTATTTATACGGTTATACCTGTAGATAAATAATCCTTCTGAGACATTTTTCTTTTGACGATTTGTTTAACCCCTTGCCCTGCGATACCGTGTCGGACTCGCGGTGAAGATTTCAAACAGAATTTAACAAACATAAATATTATTCAATTTGTTTGAAGGAAAATTACATATTATTCCTCTGTGATCAATGATTATACCTTAGAGTACACGTTGACAGAATAAAACTGGAATTTTCTGTTAGTTTAAATAAATAGTTAATAACAAAGTAGTTAGATCGATCACAGTTCAGAAAGAAATCATAGGGCAAAGGGTTAATTATTTGGTTTTACAGATATGTCTTTTCGTAAATGATCTTTGATAATATTTTATTTATTTTATTATTTGTTTGTTTATATGTACGCTTATACTGTTTGATAACTATTGTTTTTTGATACTTTTGTTTTAACAATTTATTTGACTATCTATTTGTATAGTTATATGTTTTCACAAATGATTTTTGATAGTTTGTTTGGTAATTTAACTATTTGTTAGTTTATATATACCTTTTGGTAAATAGTTTTGTTTGATAATTTACTTAACAGTTTATTCATTTACACTGCTACACCCTTTGGTAAATAATCTTTTCGATAATTTTCTTTTAACAATTTAGCTATATTTTTTAATAACTTTTTTGGTGATTTAACTATTTATTTATTTATTTATAACTTTATACATTTTGATAATTTTTGTATAATTATTTTATTTGGTTATACTTTTTGACAAAGAGTACGAAAGAAGAGGAAGATAAAATAAAAGAAGTAATATAAAAAATACAAGGAAATAAGATAAGTTATATACAATATGGATTTTGGTTCACCTATATCTTATTTATTAAAAAAAAATAGTTTCTATATTTACGTAAAAGAAATACTCGATAATAAATAACACCTGCAAACAAAAATCTATTCGAAATTTTAATGATTACCATTCTAATAATTTACTTATATAACACAAGTCAAACTAAAACATTCTCCATTCAGAATAACCCACCAAACACACCATCCGAATTATTCCCTCCTAAAACACCCTGTATAACTACGCAAACTCACAGGAAACTCCCACGAAAACCAAGGAAACAATCTGCAACGCAACACCCACAAAATTCCCGTTTGCAAAATTCAAATGAAAGCTCCAGTTCTCTCGCGGATTCTCCAAAGAAACTTACAGAAACGTTGAAAGCCCAGTTTTTTCCCCCGGAACAGGATCCAGATCGTAGAAACTTAAGTCGCGAACAAGATGAAACCTGAGAAAGGCAAACATAAAAAGAAACTAATAAAAAGTAAAAGCACCAAAATAAACTAAAAGAACAGCAAAGCGAAAGGACAGGAATAAAATCGAAAGAACGGAAATAATATAAAAGAATTACAAAGCAAAGCAACAGAAATAAAGAAGCCAATAACGAGACGCGCGAATTGACCGGAAACCCGACGACGGACGAATGACGGAGAGACTGTAATGATTGTTGATACGCGCAGTGATCGAGATGGAGGAGGAGGAGATGAGATCCAGCGGTTGGATAAGACTGTGCTGTCGTGGTGGGAACACTCCACCGCCGGACCGACCTGCCGAGTGAGTAATGATCGGGGAAAGCTCGCCAATCCGCGTTTAGGTCATTACCAGCATCGACGGTCGATCCTCCTCGCAAGATCATACCAGTAGGTAAACACGCGGGACAAGTGCGAGCAGTGCATGAACCGTTGCATCGCTTCCATCCCCTATTCCAGCGATTTCCAAACCGGGAGAAGACAGTAGGGAAAATTAGACTAAAAACTATCGTCAGTTGCTGGGAACCTGGCACTCGTGGCGTAATGTTTACGAATATTAAAATATTTAATCAATGTAATATATATAAATTTCACCAAATTTTTCTTATTTAACCCTCTGTAGGCCCATGTAACTTTGAAGTCACATATCAGTATAGTGACATCTTGTTGATTTATTTCATTTTGCACTCAAAGTGGTGAATAAAATTAAGTAATCAGTTAACCCTCTATGGGCCGAATTTTTGTTCATGATTATAACAAAATCTATCCAGTACAAAATTAATAAATATCCACATTTGAACACAAATTAACCATGCATTCAATACTTTCAATAATTTCATCGAACGAATATGTTTTATAACTTTCAAGTTATAATGACGTTAAACTTTCACGCCTGAGTGTATGAAAGTTTAAGTTAACTGATTACTTAATTTTATTCGCCACTTTGAGTACAGAATGAAATAAATAAGTACAGAATGAAAGTTTAACGTCACTGTAACTTGAAAGTTACAAAATATATTCGTTTGATGAAATTATTAGAACTACTGAATACATTGTTAATTCGTATTCATGAACAAAAATTCAGCATATAGCGGGTTAATTGATATATACATCTCACGGTTTTAATCGCTCTGCCAAATGAATTAGCTTGTATACCGTTAATTGCTGGGAACCTGGCACTCATGAATGTTTACGAATATTTTTAAAATATTTAATCAATGTAATGTATATATGAATTTCACCAAGTTTCTCTTCTTTAATTGATATATATATCTTACGGTTTTAATCGCTCTGGCAAACGAATTGGCTTGTATACCGTCAGTTGCTGGGAACCTGGCACTCATGACGTAATGTTTACGAATATTATTAAAATATTTAATCAATGTAATATATGTAAACTATTGAACACTGGAAAATCCTGTGAATCCTCGAATAGATCTCTGAGAATTAGTTTGAAATTTTAGAAATCTCTTAAATTATTATTTTGAGTGTAATAAATAATTTGTTTTTTATTATATGTGTAACTCGGGTTTCAAGAATTGCAAGAAATTTTTTAAATTGTTAAATTAATAATTTGGTGTTTCGAGAAATATCTTAGATTTTTATGATTAAATATAATTAATTTGTTTTTCAAACGTTTTTTAAGTAATTGTATAATATTTTAGATTCTTGAGAATTGTTTAAGTTATTTTAATTTCGGTTACTTCGGCTTTTGAACTTTTTCTTAGTAATTGTGCGGTTCTATAAATTCTCGGTAATTGCTTGGATTATTTTATAATTGTTTAGACACACCAGAAAATTCTTAACATTTTTTTCCAATCGATTTGGTTGTTAGGAATTTGTTAAGTGAATATATTTCTTTGGATTCTCAGAAATTATTTAGTTCTTTTATAATTCATCAGACTTTAAAAAATCTTTTAAATCTTTCTGTAACTTTAACTTTTACGAAGCACTTGTGTACTTTTCCTTGTGTAATTGCTTTCTTGATAATTGCTCGATATATTTCATAATTTATTGGTCTCTCAGAAATTCTTCAAGTTATTTAATAGTCCATTAAACTTTTAAAAACCTCTTCGCTTCAACAATTTTATTCCTCACTGGATTCACAGGCATTCCTTAAATTATCCACTATTTCGTTGGAATTTCCTTAACTTTCCTTGAACCGTACAATATTCACGTGAACTTTCAAGAAGCCTTCTAAATTTCTTATGATCCTTTGGAATTTTTGGCTTTTTATCATTTTTCTCGAATTCGTTGCAGTTTTATCTACTCCTCAAAACTTTCTCTGAATCCACTGAATTCTTTATAGTTGTAGTGCTTCCCCCTCGTCCATTGAACATTTTCATATTTCCTTTGAACTATTTTTATTGAATTAATTAGAAAATGCTTCGACCATCATCTAAATTACTATCTTCTCGTCTTAAAGTGTTGGAAATATTATTACCGTTAATTTTTGCTCCCAGTATTTTCAATGTACTTCCTCTGTATCAATGTATTATATCTCTTATCTTATAAACTTCATCTATTAGCCATCAGAGGCCAACAAACTTCAACTTTCACTTGAAGAACCACTTTATATGTCTTCTGACATCAGTGTACACCCTTTTGTGTCTTAAGGGGATCTTGTGACCTACAATCGTCTTTTTAGAGGAATCTTCGGAATAAAAAATAAGAAATTTTAAATAATAATCGGTTAATTATATTTAATTATTCTTAACTGAAAATATAATGGAGTTAATAAACGTGCACACTTGAACTTGTTTATTTCTATGTATCTTTAATGTTACATGTATATTTTTGGAATGCCATATTATTCTTTGTTTTCTATGGAGTTACAGAAAATTCTTTCAATCGTTTAAGAAAAGAATTGTGAAGATTATTATTTTATTATTCTGTTGTAACTGTAATTATAATATTCTATAAAATTATACCTTCTATTATTACTTTCTTATTTTATTGCTTGTTGTTCTTTATTACTATAGTAACAAAGATTATACATTCTAAATCATTATTCTATTATTTTATCATTTATTATTACTCTATAATAACAAAGATTATACATTCTAAATCATTATTCTATTATTTTATCATTTATTGTTACTCTATAATAACAAAGATTATACATTCTAAATAACTATTCTACTATTTTATTATTTATTATTATTCTACAATAATAAAAATCATATATTTTAAATAATTATTTTATTATTCTATTATTCTATTACTCTGTTATTCTGTTATTCTGTTATTCTATTATTTATTATTACTTTACAGTAACAAAAACCACATATTCCAAATCATTACTCTATTATCCTTTTACTTACCGTTACTCTACAACAATAAAGATAATATCTTCCAAATTATTATCAAACTATCTCATTATTCATTATTACTGTAAAATAACAATCATTATTATCCTAGTATTTTTAGTTACACTCTAAAAAGACGCAGTAAGTCCCCTTGAACAACAAGAAAATATTTCTCCCGTTGTCGCAAAGAAAATTCGCTTTCTGTGTAACGCAAACATGACTGCTCGCAGGGATCATCTTCACCTCACGTTTCAGAACAGCAGTCTGACGTAGCATCCCCACATCCCCCCGACGACTTCCTCAAAGCACGGAAACCTGGCCAGCTCGCCTCGCCAAGGGAAAGATGATCACTTGGAGGACATCGAGCCGGAGGGACAATGAATCAAGTGCACAGTCCGAAACCAGATCATCGTTAGCATGTCTATCTGTAGACCCATCTTCGAGCTGAGAGTGTTCGAGCGCTTAAACTTGTCCTTAGTCGATCAGGAAATTAATAATGTTGAGTTCGCATTACCACATTGTACGCGAGTCACGTGAAAATACTAAAATATTAAATAATATTTTTGTTTATTATTACATAATATTATACATTATTATATATTATGTATTATTATTATATAAGAAAATAGTAAATATTAAATATTTAAATACTAACATTTTATGTAAAAATATCTAAATTAAATGTTATTAACATTTTACGTTGGAAGTAAAGGTTTGATCTATTCACGTGTGATTGGCAGTACTTCTGTTTGCAATAAAATCTTAGGAACATACATTGAGTAACCAGCAGCTTGGCTGAATGTAAGTGATATCAGTTGAAACGAATAAAACAACTCACGTACAATGTGTCAAATTAAATGGGACTCGATGTGCGTAAGAAATTCTTTTCGAATTACTAGAATCGCTTAATTTAGATATTTTAATAATTAATAAATGAAAATAGGTGATGGTTTTCTAAGATGAGGGACAAGTTTGACGAAAATCAAATGTTTCCAATGGAATTGGGAACTTTTCAACCCTCGGAGATCTGTGTTGAATCAAGTTTAACCCACACGCATTTTACTTTTGTTATGTTACCATTTGCGTGATTCATTGACTTGCATTAATTGATATTTTAAATTCTAAATTTGGTTATTGAAGGTATATAAATGAACTGAAGAATACGAATGAATTAAACAAAATATAAATAAGTAGCTTTTATGTTGTACATTGTATTATTATATATATTAATTATTGTCAATTGCTACAAAGAAATGTAAATAGAAATATATTTTTGTTAACAATTGACAATTATGGTCGCATTAGAATTTATATTTATTGTAAGATAGAGTTCTCCAGAACATGCTTCTAAATTGAGCCAGCACCGTACACCGAGGGTTAAAGGAAATAATAATTCTTTTATGGAGAGTCTGAGAAAATGAAAGGTGGCATTACAGTTAGACAATACTGCATATCAATACCTCCGTTTAGTTAAAGAATCGTTTGTCAAATGAATTTTGTATCAAAGACTTGAGATTTCTTTGGTATTTGTAAATTATAAATTTTCTATGTGTCGAGATATTAAGAGATTAATGAGAAGATAGACGATGGAAGATAATTTTACTGGTTTAAAGTGGTTTAAGGATCTTTGAACTCGAGGAAAATCGATGCTAAGGACTCGAATTCAGGAAGGAGACGCTTAGTGTCGGCCTTCAGTCATTGAACGATTACCCGGTGATAATGAGGCACGACTAGTGAAGGACAAAACGCTTAAAGTCCTCGTTCAAGTTCAGTTTCTAATAGCGTGACGTGTTTCTAGTGAAATGGAACCGAGAATCGTCCACTGAATCACAGAGTCAATTACTTATATTTGCGTGAAATTAATTTAAATAGAAATTACCATTAATTTTTAGATTTCCTGGAAGTTTGAACTCGTTTGGAATTGTTTGAAGTGATTAACATTTTTCCTATTTAAATAGTCAGTTGATCGTGAATATTTTTGAAAGTGTAAAATATAATTTCTCAGTATTATAATATTATAACTTTAAAATGTCATAATACTCCAATTTTGCAATATTATAATATTACGATTTTGTAATGGTATAATATTATAATTTAAAACTTCATTCATTTGAATTCGACTAAAATATTATATAAATACAGTTGACTTTTTCACACTGCTGACTCTATGATCTTTTGTGTACATTGAACGCCAAAGGCAGAGAAAAATGGACATGTCCAGATAACGAAAAGGGAAAATCGTGTATATTTATGGGAAAAGTGTGAACATACCTCACTCCGACATTTTTTAACCGAGTCGAGGCGATCTGTTTCTAATATATTAAGTGGATGTGTGCATTTGCTGTTTATATGCTTTCATGAATCTCTGTAATCAGTGCTTGCGAAGCTATTGTAAGATATCGTAACGAATTTCTAGTAATTAGTCAGTGGAGGCAGTCTCCTTAAAGAAAACTTCAAACATTTCGATTCCCAAATAGGAATTTATTTCATTAAAATTTTTCATGAAGTAAATTTTTCTATGTCAGATAAAGAGAGCGAGAGAGAGAGAAAGGGAGAAAATGTGCGTGTAATTGTATAATAAGAAAAACCAGAGTGTATCTTGCAAATCTTGTGCAGATTCCGTAATATTTTCCACTTTGAAATGAAAGTTCGAATATCTTGAAAACGAGGGTGAAGAGTGGATACTTTTCTTCGAGGAAAGAGGAATTTTTACTTATATGGGTCACGAAAGTTTCAAGTGTTTTATCCAAAGTTTTCTTTTTCTCCAAAATTCAACACTTTTGCATCATGGGAGAACGAGAAAAGCTTTTAGAAAGTGCTGGTACATTAAAATGATCATCTGAAAATCGAGTAAAGTATTTCAACCCTTTACCTTCTGATTTCTTCTACAAATACACTTGCCAAGACCATTTCATTATTAATAATTTCCTAAGAAACAAAAAAGAATTCTATTTCTGTTTCATATCTACATTCACTGCAAAGTTAAATAATTAACAATAAAGACTAATGTTTAATTTTAACTCAATTAAACATAACAATCAGATTTGAATGCAAAATTCAATTTTGATAAATAAGAATCACAAAACTCAGGTGAAAACAGTATTTTTTCGTTGAATTATTTTTTAGGTAGGATTGTATTGATTAAGTACTAGGTCATTGACGACGAAATAACATTTTCAGTAACAATCTAAATTGTTTCAAAGTTTGTTTCGTATTTTCTTTTGAACATTTGTATGATTTACGAATATAAAAAGGAGAATAAAATATAAAACGGATCCACATTCTAATAATTTATTAGTATTTAAATTAATTAACTACTTTTTGAAATTTTCGTCGTTATATTATAAGGCGAAGGGTTAAAGCTCTATTATTTTAAAGACAAGACTGCCCAATGAAATTTTCATAGGGAAAAATTGCGTGGCAAGGGAAAAAGGAGAACGAGACATTCTTCGATCAAACAGTTGGTCTCATTGTTTGAAATCCACTCGAGCACCCGCGTGTTGGACTGCCTCCGCGTATTCGATGTGAATCGAAGCTTTAATTCTGAAGTGCCGGAATGGCACGTACCGAATCGTGTCAGAATTTACGCGAAGTACCTGGAACATTTCTCTGCGTCTGGCAAGCAAGTGATCGAACATACGGCCTAAATTATTTTTCGAATAAAAAATTCCATCTGACGTGAATACCATAAATATAGTATAACACACAATGTAAACTAAATGTTCTTTATTTTAGAGAATTTCGAACCTTGCATTCAATTTAAATAATTAACAAAAGTATTAAGAAGAAGTGTACTTTACTCTTGTTGAAAAATTTGGTTTCAAAAACTGTATCAAATATGAATTATTTAGTAATTCAATTATCAGATTCGGTGATTCAATTATCATAATTGGTAATTTAATAATCATATTTTATAATTCAATAACGAGGCTTGGTAATTGAAATTTTTTTAAAACTGAAATTTGCATAGGAAAATTATTTTATACATTACCTCTTTACTTTTTTTACGCAGGATTATAAAATATGAATTGTTCAAATTTTACAGTGAATTGTCTGTTTGGGCTTGTTCTTTAACCACTTGCTTGTCGAAGAAAACAAAATGTGTGTTTTTTTATCGTGAAAGCGACACTTCGTAAATTTTGGACTGGACTTTAGAGTATTGAATACAGTCACGTCGTCTGTTTGTAAGCTTTGTTAAGAGCCGAAGATAATTAGGCTTAAGACTAACCAATTAGCGGACGCGTCATTGCTTAAGTGACTTTGTAGCTGAGCGTTTTTTTAAGATGCAAATAAATAATCGTGACAACGATTGCGGTTCCAGGAGTCGATCCTTTAATAATTTTATTGTCTTTTTCAATAATATTATTTTATTTACTTATTTTATTCTTAAAAATATTTGAAAGCTAAGCGTTTTTAATGTTTTTTATTATTAATATTATATAGTAATTAATATTTAAAGTACTTATTTATTTATTTATTATATGCTCTGAAAGGAAAAGAAAATAATTTATTGTACCCACAAAAGTTTTTTTTATTGCGACAGTGAACTATACAAGAACGTGTTACAGCATATAAATATCTTCAAAAAAATAGTAATAAAATCTTCTTTACAAATTCCATTTTATACAATGTTCAAACAACGTAACATTTAATATTCATATAATCTATGAGCATGTATACTCAAAGGAAACTTTATTACTACTTAATTAAATCATAAAAGTAACTTTGTTACTGCTACGAATGCAAGCTTTGCATGAACATTGAAATTAACATTTAAATGAACTCATGTTGCTGCGTTTTCTTTTTATAGTTATAGTATTTCACACAGACTCGACGATTGGGCGGATTCAAGTATGTAATTCCTACACTCCCACTTCTTCTATAGAAAAAAATAATGAGAATATAAAATTATATTATTCTATAAAGTTCTAGATAAATATTCTAGCTCATAGTAATTATTTCAGTCTCGGCCTTTATAAAAGGATTTGGTTCCCCATAAATGTTTCACCCATCATCAAGATACTTGTTGATAATTGCTAATTAATATAGGGAAAATTCAATTTTTCTGTTTTAATTTAATCAAATGATGAAACTGAATTTTATACTAACAATATGGACGTGTTGTAATTTACGCTCTGCATACATAATATAAATTTATACACCTAATATAAAAACTTATTTGTAATTTCAACATATTTTGATATATATTTTGCTGTTAACAAATAATTATTTCCTACGAAAAGTACTTCATAATAGTTAACGAATTAAGTAAATTCTATGTTCCCTGAAAATTTAAGTATACAAGGTAACTTTGCACTGTTTCAACTTAACATATTTATTAGTTTGATAAAAAAGAATTGCATAGAGAAACGGCCTATGCATTTGTTAACAAGTTTAGCTCGATTCTATCCATATCAGGCAAAGAAATAATACTCTGTGTCATGAAGACTATCACAGATATGTTTTAAAAGACCTTAGAGTGTTTAATATGATTTAAACATTCACAATTATGTAGAGAAAATCAGTATGAACACTTCGCTCTCGGAGAATGGTGTAATCGTTTAGTAAAATTGTATTTTAAATGTTAGAAAGAATGAATGATAATTAATAAGAAATATTGTGACATTCATGTTGCTACAACATTATTAAAAATAGCTGTATTAGTCTCAATGAAATTCTCATACATCATTCTTACATGCTATAAAAGAGTTGCCCAATTCCTTTCCACATTGATGAGTATACAAGTGAAAAAAGTGTCCTCCAAAATGCAAAAAAGACAGTTTGCAAAAAAATAGAGTTCGTGCTACTAAAATAGACACTGTAGAAAAGATAGTGATTCTGTGGAAATATATGTTTCTCCTCAACTACACAGCTTTACAAAAATTCCATCAGGAGAAGAGCATGTTTAAAGTAAATCTCAATAGAGATCAATCACCTATCAAGTCACTAACTATTGCTAATGAATATTGTCTGGTTTTAATAGTGATATAAAGATTTAATAGAAATTTGATTCTCAGACTTCCATTTTCAGTTATTCTCAGATCCTTTGTTTTCACTGCAGCAGATTTATTAAAATTCATCATGGAAACTCCCTTCGGTGTCCACCATTTTGCTACCCAGGAACAATTCCATTTTGTTCAAGATTTCAGAAATGTTCAGTTTCCCATCCATGTTTGTGTCCGATAGACTTATCAAATGTTGGGCTTCTTGTATAGCGTGCCTTGGATTTCTTGGATCTATGTACATCTGGGAAGAAACATACAGAAAAATACAAATTATACAAGTCAATTTAATAAACATATTATTATAAATGTAGATTATTTTATACAGAAATCTAAATCTTATTCTGATAATAGTTTCTTACCAGGAGCTCAGTTCTATCAGCTTTTCCATCTTTATTCTTATCTATCAAATGTCTGAACTCCTGCTTTCTGTCCTCGCCTCCACTAACAGTCTCATGTTTATCTTCCCTTAAATCAAGTCCCATTCCTTCAGCAGGCAAATCCGAGAATTCATCTTCAGTCAGCTCTTCATCTCCATCACGGTCTAGGAAGAGAAATAGAGGTTAGGAATTCAGTTAAGTATTATTTTTACAAAGGAAAAGGAAAGGAAACAATTTCTATTAAATATAGCTGATAGATGAAAGACTTTCTTACCGAATTTCTCAAATAAGTCTTCCACCATTTGAAGAAGAGCCCTGTGACTGCTTTCAGGATGTGTAAAAGCAAGAAACTCGTCCAGGGCCAGCCTGTCCGGATCGTTTCTAGCTGCTTCCGCCCATCTGGCTCTGTCTCTCATAATATTTTCCTTCAACGTTCGTGACAGGTCGCTGTGCTTCTTGTCATGTGAATTGACATAACTCTCTAGATACCCGTGGGACCTGAGAAAGTACGCGTGATACTCTTCCCACGACACCTCACCTGCCACATAGAAATTTGCAATTGAAAACTTTATACTTTTACTTTGATACAAATCAACTTGAAAAAATACCAAAGATTTCCTAATGACCTAACATATCTGCTATTAGAATCTCTAATCTTATGCAATTACTTAAATTCCTGAATTGCGTACCATAAAAGAACATAACGAAACATAAACATGCTCTCTCACTTAACAGAAGACTTATTCTTGAGCAATCACTTTTATCAAATTTTCTTTATCCTAAACAACTTATATTTAGTTAGAAAACATAAGCTTCATTTAATTATGAAACAACTTATTATACTTTGTATTCTGTACATAGTCTTCATCAGTGTTTGCTACCTTCTTAAGTCTTCCTTGCATTTCACTTGTTTCAAAGATAAGTCTACCTAACTCTGATTAAGATCAAATTTGGTACTTCCAATGAATCAATAAGATTTACCATTTCTTGGGTTATTATCGATAGCAGTGAAGAGACCAACATTCTCCCTCATAGCACGACTGATGTGCTCTGTAATTTTTGTGTGAATCCACTTAGCCAGTTCTTGGATGTCCAACAGCTGATTCTGATCGATGTCTGCCTTCTTAAAGATGTTCTCGAGTAACGTTCTTGGGTTCTCCCTGTTCTCTGCCTCCTCCACCTCCTTAATGTTCTGTTCATCCCTTCCTTCGAATGTCAGGGCATTGTCAGGTTCCCTTTGGCTGGCAGTCACTGCTTCCAGCTCAACGAACAAATTCTCTATCAATGATCCCTCGTTGTCCTTGTCCGTGGACAAACTCTTTAACGGAACATTTCGGTTATACTTCGCAAAAAGGAGGCTCAGGTAAATGACCAGGGGCACCAGGATAGTCCACCGGAAAATCCGGATGCAACGTAGATTGGAATTGCAGGTGATTCTGTGCATCTGTGAGGAATTTCAGTTCTCGGTAACGCATATTCATAGAAAGTCCCACAAGAGATAGAATTTCCAGTAGAAATACAAAAGAAGTTACGTTCAAGAGATGAAGCGTTGAAAAGGAAAGTTTATTTAAAATTATCGAGTAAATATTTACCACTAAAATTACCAGATATGTCACAATAACTTATTTCGTATTTCTTCCTGTAGAGCTACTCACAAAATGAGAAAGGTACATTTCATCGAATCCGCTGAACACATTGATCGTTAAGTAGACCAGACCTGACAATCAGTCTGCAGGCTGTGTACCCTATCCTTTTCCCTCCATTTACTGTAAACACTAAATTAACTGAACGAACTCCTGTAAAAAGGTTGCAACGAGTCCATTGTCCCAACAGTGCACATGAATCACACTGTCAATCACTTTTCTCACTGAGGGCACTGCACGTATTTGGAGAATCTTGCTTGGTTCACCATTGACAACTGTTTCAAGTGATCACTGTCCCTCTGTGCCCGAAGTTTGATCATGTTTGAGCCTGTTTGAGCAAGAAGAAGCTAAATGCTGAAGTGACAGCAGTGAAACAATGGCGAAGTTGATGATGATTACACTGCAGACTCGTCTAAGAGCCTGAACCTCTACTCTCTGATGAGAAATAACCGGGATAGGCGGAGAGAGACATTGTTCGCACGTTGCCTGGCGAAACGTTAACGGCGTATTGATCCACTTTCACTGTCGTGGCCTTTCTCTCCGTGGCTCTCTCTGTTCCGCTCCCGGCCCACCCTGGCTCTCCTCCTTTCACTCCGGCTTCCACCTCCGCCGCTGTCTTCAACATTGCTGGGAACTTCGAGTTTGTCACTTGGAATAGGACTTGTACCGTTGTTTGTTTAGCGTTCCGCGTTTGCGCAGCGATCACTTGGCTGTCGGTGATTAATTGTCTTTTGTCAATGGGAAGCTTCTAAATGTAACGCGTTTGAAATTGGAGTTCCTACCTTATAATACTAAAACTTGTCAGTTCTTGAAAGAATTTTTTTTTTCATTTTTAGATTACAAATCTTTAAAATAAATGTAAGTATATATGGATTAATTTGCAGAGACTAAGATTAACTGTTTCTTCTCAATGTTGAAGTTGTTTAAATATTAAATTTGAAATGAAATGAAAATTTCATCAGATTTTGTTATTTTAATTTACAATATCAAGGACAGTGGTGTATGTTATGGATCTACAAAATCTACACTGTAAAGATAGAAATAAAGGAACGAGAAAACTAACAGGTGTATTAAGAAGAATTTTTAATAGTTTATCTATAGTTACTCTATTTATAACAAAGGAAGAGGCACATCAAAGAAAATGTAGAAAGTGTATTGTAATAGAACTGAAAAATGCAAAGAAATAAGGGAATTACTTATTACCACTAAATTTTTATATTATGGGGAACAATATTTTTAAAATACTGCGTGCAATAAAAATTATATATTTTTTTAAATAGTTCCTCTTATATTCTCTTGTTCCAGTGTTTATATATCTTATACGATGTTTCTCATTCATAAACAAATCTTTTCTGTCTACAAAATCAAAATAAATTATTACTATCATTCACAGAATCTTTAATATTTTAACACGTTGTCCCCCAACTCCATCGAATTATTATAGTTCACTAAATTAAACGATAATTATTCGAAAACATTTCTATATTATAAACAATGCCACCTAATACGGTGCATTCAGCTACATGAACGCGCAGTAATAATAATTCAATTCAATCAAATGTTCTGATATTATGTTTTTTCCATTTTGTGTATTCTGCTCTATGAAATCGTGCGGCGTGCAATATGTTAAATGCCAATTCTTCCACAGCAAGAAGAAGAAACAAAGAACAGAATGAATGAAAAAAGAAACACATAAAATCCAGTAGAGCGATTGGTCTCATATATTTTCTCTTTATATACAAATACGTTCTCTAGAAACGAAGTATCCCGCTCTGACAAAATAGCATGCTACCATCAAGCGATCAGGACCGAGCGGTAAGACGACTCTTCCACTTACAATGTTCGGGCCGCCTCTTCGACGCGTGGCTCGAGATTGGCCGCGTAGCAGTAACAAAGGACAGAAGCGGGATTAAATGCAATTGAGCGAGATGTAACGATAGAGATCAAAGCCCATAGTGCCGTCAACTTCGTTCATTATCGTTACATCTCACTCCGTCTTTTGCCATTGTCGCGCGCCGATAATAATCATGAGTTGAAGACTGAGTCGACCCGAACATTCTGAATGGAAGAGTAGTCTTACCGCTCGGTCCTAACCGCTTGCGGGTAGCACGCCGTCTCGTCAGAGAAGGACTACACATACCTTACAACTAAGTACTGGTGAACGGTAAAACAATCGTGGCGGTCCCGCAGACCACCGCATAAATTAGGCAAAAGACAACGAAGTACACGTCCGCAGTGAAAATGAATCGAGCGATCGCGCGTTTAACGCGGCGACCGCCGGAAGCAATTAACCTTCAACGGGCATCCAAAAGATTCTGCTTTCGCTTCAACTTTTAAAAACATAAATTAAAGTAAAAAAAAGGGAGATTCTACGGATTCTAAAAGACGCTTAAAACGAAGGGGATTGTCACGTTCTTTCGGGGTGTAAATGATAGTTCGAACGATACATTGATCCTTTTCGCTTTTCGACGGAGAGTTTACGGTAAGGGATGCGTTAAAACATTTGTTTGTGATTTTGACGTTGATTGTTTTTGGCGAAGCTAACGGTAGAACCTAAAGTAAGTACGGTAACAAATGGTGCCATAAATAAATTACCCTATGCTACTGCGAGTCGCCTCCTGGCAAGGAGTCCTCTCGGAGTATCCATAAAATCTACAGAGTCTTGCTCTGAGTTCCCTAGACTCGTCTCTGTCAGTGATCGCCTCTAAATTAGCCTGTCCTTGAGTAAGGAACTTCTTTTTGGTTCATTCATTCAGAAGCTGAGGCTTCGTTCCTCAGCGATGAAGTCTTTCGAGGGCTTGCGGAGTCTTAATATTCTTATTCGATTAAGTTGAGTCTTTCAGGGACCAGTCTTGTTGCGTTAAGAATAAGATCTTTGACATTGGTAAGTTTAATAAAATCGGTAACTCGTTTCTTTCATTTTTGATCGACTCTTCGCCAATTTTTACGGCTGTTTATTTGGAGCATTTTATGAAGCGAATTTAGGGGTGAATTTTGAATCAAATTTTTGGAACGTTCATTGGGTCTCTGCGGTGCAATTATTAAATTAAGCGAAGTAAATCTGAAAGTGAAGCAAGTTTCAGGGTTTTGAATTAAACATATTTAGGACATTCATTGGTGCTATATGATCCAATTATTGAATCAAGATAAGTAAATTTGAAAGTGTAGCGAAGTTAAGGGTAAATTTGAATTTGAAGCAAATTTAATGGTATTCAGAGCATTCACTAGTGCTTTCTAACGTAATTACCAAATCAACAACAGTCAATTTAAAAGTGAAGCAAGCTAATTTAATTTAGATTGAAACAGTTTCAATTAAAATTGTGTTAAATTCCCTGTTTCTCAGATTTCCAATTGAAATTCTCCATTTCTCGTATATCCAACAAACGTCTGATCAAAAAATCAGAATGAATCGCCTGTAGCCACTGAAAAACTCAAGTTAATCAACGATTATCTCGTTAACACTAGAAATACCGATCAGTCGAGCTAATACACCTTCAATCTTCCATAAACATCACACAAATATATTTATCGAGCTCTTAACTAACTAGTATCATACAAACGTCGCCGAAAGAATTTAACGATAATTTTCCACGAAACCTCTGTTAAAATTTCATCGACTAAAAAACAAGCACAACATTCAATTCACCGTTACTCGACCCAGTCAGTAGTTCCAGTGTTAAAAGATCGGAAAAACGAACAAGCACAATCGCACTGCAGAAACCGAAGTCCAAAATTCTTCCGCAACAAGTGGACGAAACCCTTGTGAAAGAAATCGCATCGAGTATACCTGCCGGTGTCAGAATCGCAACGATCCAAGTCCGCCGTTAAGAATACGCTAAATGTTCATCGAAGACCTAGCAGCAGGTTCTACAAACGCGTGAGTCTTCATCGAAGATGCGTCCGTGCGGTCTGACCACGTGGACAATTTTAAACGATAGAATCATCGAGGAAGAACTGACTCTTTTCTAAATTAATTAAAACGCGGAACGAAGAAAAATTCTCGGTCCCTCTCGAGAAATACTGTGATAAATCGTCTTTCTTCAGCCTCTGCCGCTTCATTTCAGGGTTTTGGTGTTCTCCACTTGAGACTTCTCGTCGTCGAGCTCCAGGCCGAAGTTCATGATCCCTTGGACGTTGTTAGCGTGTGGCTTGGTCTGCAGACGGAACGCTGAGGCGATCACAGGGCTCAAGAGATCTTGATCGAGATCTGCCGGGTCCTGGAAGCCTGTCACGTAGCTGACCGCCACGCCTACCAGCAGCGTCAGTAGGCAACCGATTGCGCTGTACCAGAGATAGCTGATCTGCGAGCCAGTTGGAAATGACTTTAATTACTTAGGCGTGTGCGGGCCACCTGGTGTGTTGGGTATATACTCGACTGTTCGAGCCGGATCGAGAAGATTCGAGCTGGCTCGGGCGAGCGTGGCGCTGCAACACTCGGGCAGTTCGAAATCGTAGACTACTGGCGTCATCGAGTAGTTGACGGTTGGCGATGTACACTACTACAGCGGAGAGAGTTGCATGTTAACCCTTTGCACTAAAGTTTTCTCGTTGGATATATTCGTCGTTTTCTAATGAAACATTAACGCGTAAAGCGCCATATCAGTCACCGTTGACGCTTCTGAATTACTTGAAAACGTCGTAACGTGCAAGATAACCGATGTCGAATGAAAATGTTTAATAAGGTAACTAAGCTGATAATAATGTAATGCAGTGGTTGTAACGCTAAATAATTAATAATTCCTGCTTTTCTTTGCTTAAAAATAACTCTACAGAAAACCGGTCAAGATTTTCGCGGCGTTTAACGTGTTAATGGTACCTTTTATAAGTAACATATATATATATATATACATACCATATAGATAGAATTGTTCTATTTCAATATTTCATTCATAATTACATTATATGAACTTTGACATTGAATATGAAACTTTATAATTTTCTTGTATCGAGATAAATGGCGACCGTGAGTCGCTTTTCTGGTGCGAAGGGTTAACCTTTTAGCCACTATACGCCACTACAGTGGCTTTCGTGTATACCATAGGGTCACTTCTGACTTAATCTATGACGCTGACCGTCAACTGGTTGATGACGTAACAGTATGGTTACGAGTTGCCTAAATGTTGCAGTGCCACAGGCGCCCGAATTTTTCCAGGCTGGTCCGAACATGAAATATCGGCTACTCACACGTTCTTAGTTTTAATATTTGTGTAGACAGAGAATAATTTATTTGTACTAATACAGATTACGATTTGTTTCAGGCTTTCACCGTTAAGAATACTATTAATACTACTAAGAAATGTACAAGGTTCCCGAGTATTAGCCGCGCCCATTAGAAATTGCTTCCTGGCGTTTGGCTAGCGTTACAGATAGAATCATCAGGGATTTGAGGACTTATTGATACTGGTTAGCCAGAAACAGTTAAGCATACCATTAGCCGATCAATTAGGAACAGTAGATTGGTGATCACCCGTTCCGTAACTCCCAGTAAGATATGCTTAAATAGGAAGCAACGTTTCGCTAGCATTGTAGCTGGGATCATCAGGGAATTTGAAGGTTAGCTAGAATCAGTGCTTTCTATTTGAGCATACCGTTAGACGATCAATTAAAAATAACAGATTAGCGGTCATCCATTCGTAATTCCCATCAAGATATGCTTAAATAGGAAGCAACGTTTCGCTAGCATTGCAGCTGGGATCATCAGGTGTTTGAGAACTCATTGATATCGGTTACCTAGAATCAGTGCTTTCTATTTAAGCATACCGTCAGTCGATTAATTAAAAACAACAGATTGGTGATCATCAATATTATATTATATTAACCCTTTGCACTCGGGAGGTGACTGACAGTCACCACTTGGTTTGATACGGTTAAATTATAAAGTTTGATATTTAATATTGAACTTTGTATAATGCGTCACTATGTGAAATCTCATAGTAAAATACTTTTGTCCCTTAATTTACCGATTAAATTAGTTACATTAATCGCAAAAAACATTGTCTATATCTAATCAAAGTGTTGAATACTTCTAGCAAAAAACTTTCAAGTGCAAAGGGTTATTGATACTAGAACAACTAAACCCGTCAAAATAACGAATTTCAAACTTCCTATTTTAAATTAGAAAAACCGTTAAGATATTTCTGTCGACGTTCACGTTGACTCTTATCAAAGTGATTAGGTGAAGAAGTAACTTTCAACTTGTGCAGTCCATACTATACTATACCTTGTATATCGAAGAAACGTCGTCGTTGGTGTCAATCGAATGGCTCTCGATAATGGCCGTGGAGTTGATGATGCAGGGGCAAGCGTCAATCGACACGAGCTTGTTATCCAACTGAATCTTGCCATTGAGAACGGCAATTTGAGCGCCAAGACCGATCCACAGGACAATTATCAGACTAGTGATGGCTCCTGAGATTGCCCCTTTAGCGTTCGCCCATGGCACGAACATACCCAGAGAGAATAATCCCAAGGTAATTCCTCCGACCATGCCGTTGAATGATAATGCGACCTGGAACATTGATTGTCGATGACTGTTAGATTGCGGGTATTTTTGCGACAGCACATTTATTAATATACTTTCTTTTATTTATTGAGAAATCGTAATTTATTGTATGTCTTTATTTATGTGAGAAATCAGTGGGAACATTAATATCTGTCACGATCATCTAAGATTTACTTATCATTAAGATAATTTATTAGTTGTCATACAAATGATTGTCAACAAATGTTATGTGCACATTTATTTTAACCCTCTACAGACCGAATTTTTGTTCATGATTATAACAAAATCTATGCAGTGTAAAATTAATAAATATCCACATATGAATACGAATTAACAATATATTCAATAGTTTCAGTAATTTCATCAAACGAATATATTTTGTAACTTTCAAGTTATAATGACGTTAAACTTTCACGCATATAAAAGTTTAAGTTAACTGATTACTTAATTTTATTCGCCACTTTAAGTGCAAAATGAAATAAATCAACAAGATGCCAATATACTGATATGTGACTTCAAAGTTACATGGGCCTACAGAGGGTTAAAGGTAAAACTGTTTGTACAGTAAATGTCATTGATTTTTGTTATATTAAAGAAGAAATTTTTAAGGTACCTCAAGAACGCTCCCAAGACGTTCTACAACGAAAACCAAAACGAAGCTAAGGGCACCGAAGCTAACGCTTATCCATCTGGCGTAGATCGCACCTTTGCTAGCTGGCAGATTTATCTTGAACACTCCCTGGATTATATCTTCGCAGGTAATCGCTGCGAGAGAGTTCAACGCGCTAGCTACAGTCCTGTAAAATATGGTAGTAATATTTTAATCCAGTGAGTTTAATTTGATAAACTTGTAATAGTAATTAGAAATGATTCGAATCATATTAGATTAGTCTATACTAAATATATATCATATTAAATTATTGTAATTATTATAATATTATGCTTACAATTATTGCAATATTATGGTTGTAATTATCATAATATTATGATTATAATTATTACAATATTATGGTTATCATTACTATAATATTACCATTATAATTATTACCATATTATGATTATAATTCTTCTAATGTTATGGTTATAATAAATTTATTATAATTTTTCTGCGTTAGTTAGGTAATGAAAAATTCTGGAAATTTTTAGAACTCACCCCAAAGAAGCAGCGAAGATTCCAGCGACGAAGAAGCCAGGTACACCCTTCAGGCCACCCATGAAATTCATCACGTACAAAGGCAGCAGTTGGTCCTGGCCAGTTATTTGGCTAGCCAACAGGGGATCACAGTCTCTGTATGTGCTGTAGAGCACCATACCAGTCAAAAAGTTCACGGTGTAGATGGTGATCATGCCGAAGGCTGACACCCATAACGCCCTGAAAGAGAAAAAAAAAAAATTTATAGTAAATATTGATAGCAAATATTGATAAATCGAAGTATTTCGTTAAATAAACTTCACTCAACTATTTCATTGTTATAACTGGATGATTATATAACAAATTATGTCGACAGAAGTCAATATTTCAAACAGACAAATTTTGTTTTAACTAGTTTCATCGACTATAAAACAAATAATAAATGTTTTGAAGTTTGGCGTGCGTTTCGAATATTTCTAACGAATATATTATGATAAATTATAATTTATCGAATAAGTGAAATCTGTGTTTTTGCTAAAAAATCATGGTACATTTTCTAAAGCTTCATAAATATCAACATCAACAAAATATATCATGAAATGTTATCAGTTCGTATTACTTATAAAAATTAGGTATATATAAAACAACTGAGTATAATAATTTATTTGTTACTTTAACAATAATTTATGAATAACCTTACCAAAGTTCTTACATACAGAAATTTTTCATATTTGTTTCAAAAGAATGAAAATTTGAAAAGGATAGAGATTTAAAAATCTGTTCACAAAAACACGAAAATCTCGAAATTCCTTTATAGAAGAATAAAAGTAACAATATTTGTTTACAAGGGAGTAGAAACTGTTTAATTTCCTTGCAGATTAGAGTACCTACGTTCTGGCTTGGCCAATGGTCTCCACGCTGAGGTATTTTTGGACGGAAGCTTGATTGCTGCAAAACATGGTTGTCCAATAAATAGTCCCACCAATGACGACAGTCCAGAAACTGTGTCTGACAGTGGGCTTGGGATCCATGTTGAAGAACTCCATTCGGCCTGACGCCTGGCTCACGTCCCAAACCTTGGCAAAACCACCCTCCCAGGACAATCCGTAGCCAGCGATCAGGAACAAAGAGCCTAGCAACACTGCTGCTTGAAAAGTGTCCGTCATTATGACGGCCTTCATCCCACCCTAAAAGAGAATCCTTCGAAGTTACTGTTTAACACTTTCATGCAAATTTAATATTCAATATCAACCCTTTGCCCTACGATTCATTTTTCAACTGTGATCGACACATCTACTCTACAATTGATGTTTGAGTCCTATGCGCCACTTTCGCGCTATTCAAATTTCATGTCGGAAAAAACCCAGCGCGTTTAAACGATACTGACAACTGACGGCGTACTCACAATGTGACGAAACGCGCTCAACTTTTCAGACGCATGTATGTACGTCGCATCGCTACTGTTTTTGTATATAAGTAATCCAAGTAATACATTTT